CACTGCTCGTAACTAAAAAAAAACAACAAAAATATCTCGAAATTTTTGGAAATAAAACAATTATGCAGTTTCGCATATTATAATTGTCATAAAATAGTGCAGTTTTGATGGAAAGAATGATTTTTACTTTTGTTCAGTTCATGAAGCCACTCTACCAACAATTTGTGGAGAAGTCCGTGTCTGTAGCAGTGGCGCAGGCTGCTGAAATAGCGGTAACGAATTCAACAATGAACGCCACTGTCACTGCCAATGGCAAGCCTAAATTATTGTAACATTCATTCCCGTAATATCCTAATCGTTTATGAAATGAATCGAAATATCGCATCCTTATATGTTAAGTGGCATAATCAAATTTTACAATATTGTGATGTTTTGACATACCGCCATGAATAGTTTTTTCTCTGTTTAAAACTGGATTAAACATTATGGCTTGGAAGCACTAATTTGAAAATGACTGTGAATGTATATACGATGTATTCTAATTATAAAACAGCGTTAGATTGATGGAAATCGTGTGATTACTAGTATTGCCTAGTATATCCTTGATATGGATGTTGTAAAAATAAAATCTTGTACTGGTGAAAAATATTATTATTGTAGCTTGGCCTGAAAGTTTTATCACGGGGATGTTAATATATTTAAAGTTATTGCAAATTATCAAAAGGTAGGAAAGTGCATTTGTAAAAATATTAAGAAATAGGAAAAAATAAGTCCCTATGTAACAATTTTTTGTTCGTTTCCATTAAGTATATGAAGTTTTCCTGTTGAAGTAATCCATTACATTCAAAGTGCATTTTGCAGTTAATTTTTATTTTAATAAGGATTTATTTTCATTATGTCTTTGTTATTTTATGTGTTATTTATATGCTTGGACTAACGAAGTTCAGATTTCATTCGTGCCAGAAATGCGTAACATGAGTTGTACTGGACTACTGTTTAATAAAAGGATGTATATATTGCACGCGATGTTATTCACATTCTACATAGTTCGAAAAAAAAGTGATAAAAATACTTAGAATTTATTTAACTGCGATATAGATATTCATACGCCATATTGCTGTAGTATATGACTTTATTAAATGCAATGTCTTGAAGTTGCCCGATTACATTAATCTACTTAAGAGTAATATAAGTCTTATTACCAACACGCTGTTAATAGTAATCAAATTTGTGTAGATATGCTGGACCCCATTTTCTATATTGCTCATTGAATAAAACTGATTAATATTATTACTTAATTTATCAATAAAACTGATTAATATTATTACTAAATTTATCAAGTTAATAAAACTGATTAATATTATTATTAAATTTATCAGGTTTATAATGTTACCTAAAAACGATTAGCAAATATAAAAAAAACACTAGCTTTTTTGTTTCCAATGAATTTTGTTCAATGAGTAATTTTGATAATATAATTTGACGTATGCGTGTATTAAAACTCTACCAAGTCTTGCCAAGCGAATATACTTCGATCTATAATGTAGTTGATAGGGTATAATAAATTTATTTTTATTAATACACGTGCATGGAATTCTAATTTTTAAACACGAAATTTATTAATGAATTATAAAACTGGACTTGTAAAATTTTATAGAAAGATAATTATTACAATTTATTAATAAATGTATACGTTATTTTAAAAAAAATATATTTTGCGTAAAAAAAAATACTTCATACTTTTTCTAATGTAGTAAAAATTATAAATGTACTTGGTGGTGGTTTTAATAACACTATAATTTATTTATGTGGTTTATATTTTGAAATATCTACTTCATGAAGACGTATTTAAAAAAATAAGCTTACGTTTGTACACCAAAATATAATTGCTACTTTATAACATGTTAGATTCAAAATTTAAAGTGCATTATTATTTTTTGTAATGTCTTCGATTTCTATTAATAAATATTAGAGGCAGCTTTAAAAATATTATACTGATTGATATATTTGTTTTACTAGTTGAGATACAACGATACAAGTGAATAAACAGTTTTGTATTATTAACATAAAGCCATATTCGTCATCTTATTGTATTTGATACAGAATGGGTGTATGTAGGATAATAGAAAATAATTTAGCGGAAACGCATGGTTATGGAAGTGCCATTAAAATTTAATTTTGAATTTACAAGAGATCTTATGTGCTAAATTTTATTTATTAATTTTATAGAATTTCTCAAATTTCATTTTTAATAGATTATATATATAAGTAAACTAGTTTAGTGTACATGATTACATATTAACTCAAGTTTGTGATCAAATTCAATAGTTGAACTTAATATTTAGACCATTATTATTCAAATTTGAGATAATATGTAACAATTATTATTAAATAACAATTTTTTCACATCAAAGTGCAGTTGTATTATGTAATTTTATAAAGTTATTAGAAACTGGACAAATATATGAAGGTTAATCAAATAGATTGTCCAAATCATTTGCAGATATGGATATTTGTATGAAAGAAGAACTTGTAATATCTTATATTTTACACAGTTATAATGTAATTAAAAGTATATAAACATGACACTATAATAATTTGTAGGTCGTGGCTATTGACAAAGTTATGTCGATCGAAAATTTTGTATCATAAAAACGTGTGTAGAAATGCATTATGTATATTTACTGCACGTATATAATTCTATCTTTCAATTATCCATTTTATACTAATAATTATTGTAATAAAAAAGATAATGATTGTAACAAATTAAATATATATATCTACATCTGTAACTATGCGCAGTACAACTTTTTAATTTAATGTTATTAATCTGTTTAAGGCACGAACATTATATAATATAATAATTATGTGATGACGATGGTGATAATAATATTAAAATAATCGAGCATAAGTTATCACGAAAAGAAACAAAAATCTCATTTTCCTGTTTATAAAATAAACATATTTTATTTCTTAGAGAAATAAATTCGTATGTACAATTACAAAACATTAAAAAAATATTCTAGTAAGTCTTAAACATTCTCCTCATCATATCTTTATTTCTCTGAAATGATTCTTGCAATCTAGTGTTGAATACATCAAATTGTTCTTTCGCCAAGTGATTAGTAGATTCTAAAGTAAGTACTGCCTTCAAATCTGTTGTAGCTTTTTCATTGTCTCCCATATTACCATATGCTACTCCTCTTCTATACAAGGCCTTAACATTATTCTCATCTTTGTTCAACACCTTTGTGCACAGCGTAACGACATGTTGATAGTTCTTTCGCTTCAGTTGACATATAGCCATGTTATTATACAACGCAAGTCTTAAATTATTAATATTATATTCCAACTGTTTATCTAATTTTAAATCAGCTATCGGCTCCAATGTTATGAGAAGCTTGCAAGCTTTGCTAAACTTGCGGAATGCATCTATGATTCGGAACTCCTTGAATAACTCAGTACCTCTCTCTTTATATCTCAAAGCTACTTGATACTTTTCTTCTGCGCTCCATTCCCAAACTGATTTATGGCGTTTACAAAGAGCCAATGTGATCTCAAACTTAACAGATTCATTATTATCTACAGATTCATCTGATTGTTTTATAGGCATGGCAATGGTAACAAGACTCTTCTCATTGATATTCATCATACAAATCACTCTCTCGATTTTTTCATCAATTTCTGAACTAGCTTCTCCTATAACCACCGTCTTCTCAGACTCTCCATCAAGAATATTAGTATGATATTTCTCTTTCAAATCCGTTTCAGACATTCCAGTAACGTTTATGTTCTCTACAATAATAGTGCATGTAGAGCATTCCGTTGGCTTCTTGGTAAAAACATCCGACTTTAGTACTCTCTTTTGAATGCTTTTGTCTGCTGATTTCCATAAATGCGACATCGTGATGATACATCAATGATCAATTCTGTAACATGATACTATTAATCAGTTATTAGAGACATTAATATTGTATTAGGGTGTAAATTTAACAAGCAAATTGTTCAACTTACTCGTTTCAACAAATACTTCTTAAATTCATTTCTTTTAGACTAACCATAAGCAGGGAGAAACTTGATAGCGTATTCCTTTGGGATGCACTGGATGTAGCCTTGCACCAGTTGCGTGTAAGCACTATACTGCTTACACTATACTGCAATACCATGGTGTATACTTCATCATTGCGCTAAATCCTACTCTCAGTTAACTTTTATTTTCAAATTTTAAATATCACACTGGTGACTGGTTCTACACCATCCCTTTAAAACAGTGTAGCAAAATCCCACTTCGTACACTACGCCGTAGTCACGGAAACGTCGGAAACACGGGATGCCGAATTAGAGACCTTTTAATTATAGGGTCTCTACTCTCTACGCCGAATAAGTTCGCCCCAGTTCGCCTACCACATCAGCCACGGAAATACGCATGTTTCCACCATGAAAACACGCATTAGTGCAGCCAAAAGAAAACGCCATACCATGATTTCACAGATTCCACCGGTTTTTTTTGTGCCGGCGTTTTTCATGACACTGTCGAAATCGTCCGTACATTAGCGCCATCAGTATATCCATTTTCGATTTAGGTACTATATGGCTACAATGCTACATCCTTTTTCTGACACTGTTGATAAAATCATAGCAAGAGAGCACTGAGAAATGAATGTTGTACGAATTAATCTGTGCTCCATTCATAAATTGTGAGTCGGGAATACTGAATTCCATTAAAGAAGTAACGAAAAAGTAACGAATCGTTACTTTTTAAATAATGGTAATGTTTAATTTTGTTACTATCACCAAAAATTATACTTTTAAAAAGTAACTTTCCATTCTCTGGATTTCAGTAACTAAAAGTACACAAGTAAAAATTTCTTGTACGAATTTCAAATTACGTGAAAAATTTCTATAAAACGTCTTATCTTATTTAATATATACAGTTAATATATAAATTAAACAAATATTTTCTAAATAGAAGGAATTTTAAAAACATGTAATTACCAAAGACTAATATTATATATTTTAAAACAAGTTACAACCAGTAACTGTATATTTCTAGTATATATTTATGTAACATTTAATTTTGTCCACTTTTCACTGACTTTCCATAACCATTTTGCTATATCATCATCCTTTGCTTCCTCTGATGCTTCCGCAGATTTGCAATTGCTGTAAACATAAGGATACTTTGATATTATATTTGCGATATTTAACATTTTTTTTAATTTTCAATGATGCTTACACTAAATAACATCCGGAATCATTTGTAAGACTAGGATCTAATGCTGCGTACAAAACAGATTGAGCTCCATGCCAAGGTGCTTTAATAAATGGCCAAACAAATGGTTTCAGGAGTATTCGTGTAAAGAAGTTGTTGTATACAAACATGTGCCGAATTATGTTTGTATCAACTATACCGGGATGGACAGCGTTCACGGTAATATTGGTTCCTGAAAAATAAGTGCGCATCGGTAATTACTGTGAAAATTATAACGAGAATTATATATAATTATATAAAATTACCTTTCAATCTGCTCGCCAATTCCCGAGTGAAAAGTATTATAGCTAATTTACTTTGACTGTACGCTTTACCATCATCGTAATCATTCTCCGAATTAAAATCCTGCATATTTATGTGGCCTGTTCGATGAGTAGCGCTAGTCAGATTTACAATTCTGGATGGCGCAGATGCTTTCAGGACGTCCAGAAGCAAGTTTGTGAGTAAGAAGTGACCCATGTAATTGACTCCAAGCTGCATCTCGATGCCTTCTTTAGTGTGACTCTTTGGGCATCTCATCACGCCGGCATTATTAATAAGTATGTGAAGTTTGTCATACTCTGTAAACAAAATAAGATAAACATTTGAATAAAAACAAAAAATTTCTAACTGTGTATACTTTTAAATATCAATCACCTTTTTTAAATTGTGTAACAAATTTCCTTATACTTTCTTGCGATGCTAAGTCACACTTCCTACAATAAATGTATTTGTTCCTCGTTTCGAGTACAATCATTCGGCGTTCCTACAAGAATAAAATATGATAAAAAGATATAGGATGGTATAGTCAGATCTTATACTTAGGATTGTCTTAAGTACAAAACGGTCTTGAAATAAGAACGGATTATAAATACTGCTCTAAATAAAACACGAGAAAAAGTTATTTTAAATAATAGCATATAAAAGAAGTTAAATAATTGACTTATATATAATATTACAATATATAACATTGTCTATTCAATTTCATAATTCATTTATAAATTGAGTAAATACTAACGACGATATAATTACCGTTTCACATTTTTTCATGTCCCTGCATGCCATAATAATTCTTGCATTACGTTTGGCTAATTCTAAGACTGTCTCCCTCCCAATACCGGAATTGGCTCCTGTCACAATGGCTACTTTATCAACTAGATCCTCTTTTCCTTCATATTTCGGACCTCCTAAATAATCCCTACAAATTCGACATGACTTTTACTATTTATGTTACAAGCAACGAAAAAGTCAAAAATACTGTCTTTTACTTAACATTAACATTGTATGTATAAACAAGATTTATATGTGAGTATACTAAAAATTATGTAGCTATAGGAATGATCTTGTTTATATTTTTACAACATAAACAAATATTTATAGATAGTGAAAATATTAAAATAAAAAGCAAACGTAAAGGAAATAAATGATTGATTTATAGTGTAAAATCTTGGGGTAACTTTCGAGCAACACTATACTTCGTCAGATACGCCACGCCGGCGGTAGTCGCCACCACGGAAGTGTAAACAAGCGGTTTTGGGATTTTCCAGCTCATTTTCACTGATCAATTCGTGGACGAAACTAAAAAAAAATTATTTAGATTCGTGCAAAGTCGAGAGAGAACATAACCAAACTCTCGACATCTGCATGCGGCGCCATACAACGCGTCACGTGTTCGGCTTGCTCCGGCTCGCTCAAATAAACACGTGCACGAAACACATGGGACATACCAATGCAAGACAAAAAAAAACCTAACAAACCAAATAAATTTTCAAGTCCAATGAATATATGAGACAATAACTAGGTAATTATCATTTAATCTGATTAATTAATTGCCCTCTTATTAGTATTTAATCTGATTAATTAATCTCTTAGTCCATATATCGAGACTATAATATAATAATATATTGAAAGTTTACAAGGAAAAACGATTTACTTAAGTATATGAAATTATATAAAATTTGACCAAATAATTATGAAATGCATTGGAATGATAATTATATTTTCCGTAAAATGTTGATCCCACAAACCATACTTAATATCTGTGATATTTGTTTTTTATTTCATTAATTTTATTCGTTCATTCAATTAAAATTATCGCATGTTGCTAAAATTATTTAATCTTCTTCATTATATCCGCAATAATTCACATTTCTAGATGTGAATAAAATTAATGATTACAAAATAAAACCATAATAATTTGAAATATTATAACAAGTTAATTGAATCCTATTAATTAATTCTCTAAATTATTTAGTTATAAGCTTTTATATCCAGCAAATAAAAATGGATTGAAATGGATTGAAAATTTTCAATCTATCCAAATCTGTATTTTAAATCCATAAAAATGAATTGGATTCCATATAAAAAAATTTTTATACATGTAAAAGTAGTAATTACATAAAATTCTATAGTTATTATTTTAAAACTTTTATATAAAAAATATACGCTAGCTGTATAATAAAATAATACGTATTTTAATATAAAATAAACATAAAAGCGATTAATTTATTAATTAAAAATAAGGAATTTACATGTGTAACATTTATTGTACATATTTACGTAGTTCTTTTTATGTCTCTTTTAACTATTAAATGAAGTAGAATTCATGATATACGGTACAACTTTTTTTAATAGTTGAATTAAAACAAAAAATTTCTTATTTATAATTCTGAATAAAATACCATTCATGATGCATTTTTAAATGAAACAATGAATTTTCTACTCACAATTTTAAATAGTATTCATGGCCCATTTTAAGAAAAACTTTTTTTTATTCAATTAGATTAAAAAACTGCATTTTCTATTCAGAATTTTGAATTAAGCAGTATTCGCAATGCACAGAAATGGCCGATATTATTTTTAGATTCAACTGAATTGAAAAACTGCATTTCCTATTCAGAATTTTAAATTAAGCAGTATTCACGATGCATACAAAATACTATATTATTTTTAGATTGAAAAGCATAGAAATATACTCCATGCCGTTCTATAAATGAATTAAAATGCATTCAAGATTGAAAAGGAATAGACATTTGTTTCATTCAATTTCTATAAATGAATTAATCCATTCGGGATTGAAAAGAATTCATTTTAACATTCATGAATCCGTATTTCTGAAAATCTGAATCCATTTTAATCCATTTCAATTCATTCTCATTTACTGAGTATACATTTGTGATATATATGATGAGAAAGCAATTTTGAGGATTAAAATAAAAAATAAGAAAACGGTATCAAGAGTAATAGGAAAGTATCTATAAAAAAAAATTTATTCATGCTTTTTATACATGGCTTGAACATTTTGTAGATTCTATAAATGCATATATAAGTATATATACATTATATTTAAATAAAGCTATTCTCTCGACAATTATACTATTCTGCGAATACACGAGCACCGCCGGCTTCTCCACTAGACATCTCGTAGTAGAATACAAAGAACCTGTTGTGGACTCGCCGATCGACACGATTCGTTCGTGATTTCGCAAATTGTGTCGTCAAAAACAAGGAAACCTCTCGTTCTCGTTCGTTCGATTTATCCGGGATATGTCGGGCATACGCCAAGTGTACGCACAGTACAATTACATTCCTCGCCTCTCGCAACTGAAACAGCAGATCTCGTGAATAGCCAAGTTCCGTTAAAAATTAACGGTTCCCAACATTCCGGTAATTTCAACGTATTTCAAGTAAAAAGGGGAACTCATATACTGTAACATAGATTTAAGATTAGACGCTTTTAAATTCACGCAGAAACAAAATAACGATGAGATTGTCATTCGGCGTCATTATGCGACAGCAAGTTGCTAAAGCCTTCGACGTTTTACATATTTTCATCAGCCCATTTATTTCCCATTTATTTCTCATAACGTAACGAATCAATTTTCTCGTTTCTTTTTTTTACCTTTTTGAGATTATCATGTTACATAATCATTCTCTGAGATAAAAGCGAAACAATAGACATATTCGTCAGGAGAGTCAAAACGTAAAATGCCTTTTTCCTATGATCGTGTTCAATGAAACGGCAATGGAGCCATCGCGAATGCTAGAGAATAAATTACTACTTGATTAAAGGATAAGGATTACGTTACATCGTTTATCTTATATCGTATATACAAGGTACTTAACAACGTGATGCGTTTCCTCGAAATATAAATTATTAGGTCCCCGCCCAGTGCCGTGTTTTTAGAGATAAAAATCCAGCATGTATATCTAAAACTCTTCCCTATATCGCACAATGATTCCGTACAAAATTCTTGTACCAACCGCATCGTGATCTCAATAAGAATGCACTGGTTTCCGCAATCTCGATCGGGAGATTTGTCGAGTTACGCTTCACGCTAACAGTCCGGGAAGATGTTCTCTATAGTCTCGATATGGGGTATAACAATCAACGTTAATACTCAGGGGCTTGATCTCGTTTTCTCTCCTGTTTTTATTTTTTTATAACCGCCAAGAACGCTCATTTCTCAACGTGAGTTCATTAAAATTAAATATCCGCCTGACAGACGTGTATAAATATAATCCATTGCAAGGTAATATACACAAAATCATTTTACGATGTGCGCACACATCGTGCACTTGGTTCCCTCGAGTTATTTCCAACATCGTGAATATCGGCATATCGTGATGTACATTACTAATACTAATTATATCACATAATAAGTTTTCTTATTTACAGTAACAGTGCTTCCGTCTATACCTCATGAAAATCTCCTCTCTTTCACAATTGCGTTACAGGGCATTAAACCGATGAATAATTCGCAAGTAATTGCTAGTGATATAAAATGGAGTGATATTCATCCAACTTTGCCAGCAGCCTTCAATAAGGCCGTTTCAACAATACATATGAATTACTTGGCGAAAGTAAAATTTGTGCAGTTTCCACAATTTATGAAAAATATATAATTAATCGTTACAACTTAGTCTACTATCATCTCATATAATTACATCTCAGTCTAAATTGTTTCTCCAAAGAAAACAATATTCTTCGTATCTTCCTTCCATTGTTCGTTAGAATTATTGAACTTTTTTTTAGTGATACAATTCGGTTCAATGCTCTGTTTTTGCTAAATACCTCATTATTTTTTAAAATTTATACAATATTATATGAAATAACAATACAAAGGAAGAATATGAATGCATTTTGAGAAGCATAAATCACAAAAATAAAGAAAATCTTTATAGTTTTATGAGAATATCTTATTGCGAGAATGAGTTATCCATTGTATAATAGCACTCTGTATAAAATATGATTTACTTACAAAAAAAGAAATTTGTTAAAAGAATTAATTTGATAGATATTGAATGTGATATATAATTTCTTTTCTTCTGCATCGATATTGATAAAATAAGTTTTATTTAAGAGTAAGTGACATATAACGTTAATATTTGCAAAAGAAAACGAGAATACTGCAAAGTACATTAAAACTTAAATTGTATAAAATGTTCCTTTTGTATTTTAATGTACCATTGCTTCAGTCATTTTTAAACTTCTTTTCCCTCTTGCTTACAGGAACTTTGCTGCAATTGAACATTGCTCCATATCGTGAGTACATCCCAAAATGTACTGACAGCTCTGACAAATCTATAATTCAAGCGTGCCATAATTATTCAGTGTTATTAGTACATTTCAGAACGCACCTCATGTTAATACAACTGTTGTAAAAATATTAGTATCTTGCTTCGACATTCAGACTAGATCGTGAAAAACTGATCTGCCTTTCACTGCTATTTGCGTAAAAATCGCAAAAAGCACGATATCGTATCATTATATAATGCGAAATAACAAAACAGTTCCGTCCATACTAATTACAAAAGCCGGATTTATCGCGTTATATACAAAATACATACATACAGATTCTTTAATAAGATAAAATATATACGGAGGACGAAAGTATAACATATTTTAGAAAATCGAAAGTAAATTTTATAAATAAAAATAATAATATAAAAGTATGTAGGCGGAAAATGAAGTACACTAGTTACATTCATAGCACAGACAATATTCGTAGCAAACTTGAAATTTGCTTCGTAATATTCGCTGTACTAAGTCGAGAAAGACATTAAAATACAAGCAAAAAAAGATGTCAGTAGGATAGGTGCCTTTTCATGCCAACGCTCCACGCTCATTTTCGGCGTCAAAATAAATCACGTGATAGAAACTATTGACGAATGTCAAACGTCAATTTCACGTAACTTATTTTGACGCTGAAAATGAACGTCAAGCGTCAGCATAAAAAGGCATCTCAATACGTTGTATCTACCCAAAGAGATATGAATGAAAGTTCGATGTGAAATGAGTAAGAGTAATATGACAATAGCGCGGATATCAGGTACTTTCTTTTTCTCGGAAAACGATATCGTGCTCAGCATCAAAGCTCCAAAGTCACAGCATGGGTATATAGAAAAGATGTTTATTACATTTATCTCTGTGATATATCAATATCACATCCAAGTATACTTTAAAGCTTTTCAACGACGGTTCTATACTGAGCATCCAAATGCTACGTATCGTCAACATACTCGAAACAACATTCCCTATGTCTCTGTATTGCTAATATCCATTTGGTAACATAAAAAGAAATGTTCTTTATGCATAGCGAGCAGTCCCACTCGAATACTTTACCGCACCCACCGTTCTCAAGGACTGCTCGATATGTTCAAGTCTTCTTTTTACACTGCTTTTTCTGGCTTTCCTCAGGCCATAGAAATCGTGACGTTAATTCCTAAGTTTCCATTGTCAGCAAACAGCTGTGCTATTGAAGTGTCAAATACAAGGCAGTCAGAATTTAAAATTGCGGACGACACACCCTCATGAATAGAACGCGGCATTGCTTCCCATGTAAGACGTCTTCTATGTCCATTTAGTTCTAGTCTGTTGCATACGATAATTTAATTAAAAAACGTTTATGCAAAAGATGGAAATATTAAATCTATTGAATTTTGTTAGATATTAAATACTTTCATATAAATAACACAATTACCTGTAAGCGAAGTTCTCTGCTTGCTTCCTGGAGCCAATCAATTGTACAATCGCGAAAAATTGTTGATGTCCATCATATTTCTCCTGTTTCTCAAGCACCAACATAAAATGATGGCCAAAACAAGATTGCATCATGACCCAATCCACGGCTCCAGGGAGATTAATGTCAGTTGCCAAAAAAACAATATCTTCGCCTAGAAAACATTCCACAAAAGCATTGTGTTAGGAGTTTAGAATCAAGGTACGATCAGCACAAATTTATTACCTTGTAAAGTTGTAATGCTTTTGTGGCTCATAATAAGATGCGGCATCACTTGCTCCAGCGATCCTTGCCATTTACAGGACGCACCTGGGCAGGGACAGCTGTATGGACGGAACTCACATGCATCTTCATGATCTGCCTTCTCGGTATGTACCAGCGAAACTGTACAGCCACTAGTGGAGTATTTGCAGGGAAACATTACATTACTAGCCACCTTTTCCATAGCCAAATTGCGAATGTTACCTGCACACATATTAACCAAATATTCTTGAGGCTTCCACGGGTGCTTTCTATATAAAGATTACGCGTTTCGTGGGTTTTCTCCGTGTTCAGATTCATTCTTGGTATGCCAATGTTTCGTAAATCTGAAGTGGACTGTAAGGTTCACGAAACGTTGGCATTCCAAGAATGGATCTGGTCACGGAGAAAACCCGTGAAACACATAATCTTTATATATTGACCAAATGTTCGTTAGGGTGCTATTTCATTTGTGCATTTTTGTCGTACGATAAATGTGTACAGAACAGAGAGATCCTTGGATCTTTCTATCCCATAGCAAATCAATAGGCTTGAAAAATTTTTCGTATGACAAAAACGCATAAATGAAATATCACCCTAAATTTTAATAATAAAGAAAATGCTACATCACGTACCCAATGGACCTCTGCATGTAGGGCAACAAGAAAGCTTCGGTCTGCAATTGGTGCAAACTAAATGTCCACTCTGACATTGCAGAATAGGTGGAAGCACGTAGTCGAAACATACAGGACACTCGAAAAGACTTGCCAGATCAGTGGAGCTGCTCATGGCGGATACAGACGACGCTGAGGTACTTGCAACTCCTCTCCCTCGCTTTCCAGTGTTGATGTTCAGTTGAGACATTTTGCCTCTTAGGTTGTGTACCGATCGCCACTCGAACGACAATCTCCCTTTGTTTTTCGTGTTGTTCTCAGCAATGCATCTCTGTTTTAATCAACCGATTCATCTCTGTAAAATCACAATATCCATAAACATAAGATATTAATATTTTACTTAACTCCCTCCCTCCCGAGTGTTCATGTGCTATAAACGGCTATCGATGGTTATAGAAACCAAGTTATACGTGTGCACTAGTGTGCACACTTATTTTTTCTCTCTTTTGTCTACGGATATTTATACACATATAAAAGATATATCTTGCTATTATTCTTACTTCTTTTACGAATGTAAGTATATCCTACCTGGGAGACACAATTTTTTTTCTTTGATATTTTTAAATTCTCACAATTTAACAATAAAAATTTTCTATTTTCAAATAAGAATCTTAATCCAGCTTTATTAAAGTGAGATATGACAAGCTCCATATACTACAAACACAATATTATTTTTACTGTTCTGTTATTGTAATAAAAAAAAATGTAAAATTATTCTGGATTAATTTCGTTAATATAATTTAATCTAAGAATTAAAATTTAATTCAAAATAATCGAAAAATGTTATACGAGTTAAGCTCTTAAATTATCGGAGCCTTAAACTCCACTTAATGGTGCCAACTGCCATTTTGTATTATCTTAGTAATAGTTATATTCATTAAACCTAAACTAATTTTCTATCTGTATAGAAATTCATAGAAAAAAATTCTAAACCATTTTTTCGGTATATACTCTCTTTCTCAGGTAGATATACGTTCTGAGAGAGAATTCAGGATTTGTTTACTTAAGAAAGAAATATATATCTGGAATAAGCCTAGAATTTTCCTCTATGAATACAGATAGTGGAAAATTAGATTAGATCTAATGAACCTATATAGTTCAACGAGTACACACATGAGGCTAATTATAAAATCTTTAAATCGACTAACTTAAGTATACCATTAAGTTATTAGCATCACTAATGGTACTTATATATACAGGGTGTCCCGAAATTTTTTGCCAAGCGCTCTTGTGTAGACAGAGCGGATTAAATTGAGTTGAAAAGTCCTGTACTATTTTGCAATTTTCGTAATAGTTAACAAGATATTACTTACTGAAAGTCGCCGAATATTAGTTTTTAATAATTTTTTGCTCAAATACTATCAACTTTACAGAAAAACAGCGAGAGACAGAAATTGTTTATTTTCTTCTCATAACGTTCTAAGAATTTGTTCAGAATTTTTTAATACCGTATTTTCTCATGTTGGTAAAAATAAGAAAATGCAGTACTAAAAAGTTGATACAAAATTCTGAAAAAATTCTTAGAACTTTATGAGAAGAAAATAAATAATTGTTGTCTCTTGCAGTTTTTCTGTAAAGTTGATAGTATTTGAGTAAAATATTATTCAAGACCAATATTTTTTGCAATTTTTAGTAATTAATATCTTGTTAACTATTGCGAAAATTGCAAAATGGTAGAGAACTTTTCGACTCAGTTTAGTCTGCTCTATCTACACAAAAGTGATTGGCAAAAAAGGTCGGGACACCCTATATAATGCTAATATCTATCGATTTAAATAATTACAGTAAATTATGCATGAGATGTAAAATAAAAGTATACGAATCAGCGAATGATTTAGTTTGTTGCTGTCATTTAGATCGTTGGTTAGACTATACAATTTCGCCAAAGATCACCGCATTCCGGTTATAAAAAAAATGCTGGTTGCAATCTAAATCTTCGATAATCTTGTCGTGTCACTGTAATTATCAATTTCACAATATTTTCAATTAGGTTATACAATTTCAATGAGGTTGCCACGTCTCCGCTCGATAAAAATACTACGTAAATTTCAACGCGACGTAAGTACTGTCACTTTTTTAACTACATGCGTCCAACGACACGCAACAATTGCACGTATCTAGGGCGCAAACAATCAACGATAGCCGACGATGCGTTGTGCAATGTCAAGTCACGCGATTATAATACGCACTTTTTTTATTCTACGCACTATAAAAAAATGTGTTGACTCGAAAATTTTTCCATTCCGTAGATGAACAGCTCCTTATGCGGTCTTGAGACTAAAGATACACACTCGTCGTTATTCTAATTTTCGATTCATCAATGACGGGCTGAGAAAAAATTTATCTCCCACCCCCAAATAGCAAAGCATGTCTCAGCAAAATCGCACAAATCTGTGATTGCTTATAATTTCGAATATACCGTATTGTAACAACATGCAGACAATAATGTGTATATATATTGCCAGCAGTTTAACAGCAAGATAGCTGCGTCAATGTTACCGTGTCGGCAATACGACAGTATTGTATGATGCTGCATATTATTATGGCAACTTGATGGCAATAGTACGAATTTTAATGATGACGAGTTTAAAGTTGTCGGAAAATTGCTGGCAAGTTGCTACTTAATATTATCAGATCGTAAAGGCATCAAATTGCCAACAAATAAGGACTCAGTTGCCGCAATTCTGGTAGCAACACTTGACTTAGCAATGCCAACAACAAGACATACATATTGCTATCTGGGCATCTATCTATGAGAGATAAATCATAAATTTCAATAATGATCTAGTTTTTCAGCACCGATTACCAAGTGTATTAAAGTCCGTTGGTAAGAATTAAATCGTGTCTCTCCATAAATCCATGAAAAATTGAGAGAAACGGTCGAATATGATTTTTAGTATTAATCTGACATTTTTATGCCCGTTTCTACCAATAGTTTAATTTTAATCTCGGTACAACTAACTCTTCATCTTGTTCTAGGAATTAGAAAAAGATGAAGTTGAACCAAGATTAAAGTTAATCTACATTGATAGCAACGGGTATTAGAAGACAAAAACAGTGACTTTCAGTCAATCTAACACTTCTAATATTGCAGTTACAGGGTCAATTTTTGACGTCGCTCGTCGATTTAAAACTCACTTTAAGAAATTCAACCCGGGACGTAGCAACGAACTGGAACCTGTTTCCTTATATTGAAGTCGTTTTTTTCCCTTATTATTATCATATAAAGGTATTCGTCCCTTCAGAAGTACCGCGTTGAAGACTGTCCACTTACCGGGATGTACAGGCAGGATTAGACAAAATCGCACGATCATAAGGTAAGACCGTCGTCGCGTTCACCGCTGGGGCAGGTGAAACGTACACGCCGCCTCCCCTGCGACCGGAAGGCTCGCACGGCCGAACGACAGGAGTCGAGAGAAGGCACTTGTTGTGAGAGACAGCGATGACGATGAGGAGAGCGACGTAGTCGCAGACGACTCGACGCGGTGGTCAAGATCCGTGAGCGTTGTTGCACGAAAGCCCGTTGATGTTGCGTGACGACGCATCGATGTGACCAGGGTGTTGCGACGACAATGTGAGAGAGAGAGAGAGAGAGAGAGAGAGAGAGAGAGAGAGAGAGAGAGAGATGTGTGTATGTGTGTGTGTGTGTATGTGTGTATTTTCCTCAGGACTCAGCGGGGTAAGGAGCACTGGAACAGCGGGAGTAGGCGGGTGGTGAAGGGGAAGAGGGGCTACATCTCGAATCCCCGCGATCGTCGAAGCAGGGTGACCGATCTTGATGGCACCTGTGCCGATTGTGGGTGAGGCATAGCACCCGCACTTCGGAAACACGCTTTCTCCTCTTCGCTTCTTCGCTCGCTCGTTCGCCCTGATCCGTCCGCGATGATCCTCCACCTCCTCCGTTCACAGAAGACGCCTATGATCGCCTTGGTCTCTGCACGAAACAGCCGTACCAAAAACGCAACGAACTCGATCAGCTATACAGCTGTTATACGCATACACACACCAACGACAGGTCAGCGCCACTCATGCAACTACCGGGAGTCACCGGGAGTACCGGAGTATTAAAAACCGACAATCCGACTTATCCGACATGGCAAGCGATGCCGAGGGGCATCACGAGGATGACGCAGCGGCATCTGTTGAGGAGGCCGTTAAATGTTATCCGCGGTCCCCTCGCCAGACAATGAAGTTAAAAAGAAAGTATTGGATTTGTGCAAAAAGCTTATTTGTTCGTCAAGTAAAATGAGGTGAAGTTATATTTATGTATAGATAAGATTAAATAGATAAGACAGAAAATTAAGAATGAATATATATATATATATATATATATATATATAATTAAAGATTGTTAATTAAATTCAACATATAAAATAGAAAATTAAAATTAAATATGACCAATTTCTATCAATTATTAACGAGATTAACTTTAATCTCGATTTAATTTGCTCTTAATTCTTAGAATCTTTGATCAACTTACTCCTTAATTCTTTAATTTACTTTCTAATTCTTAGAATTGGAGAAAGATAGAGTAAATTGAACACATTAAAGTTTTTGTTTTATAATTATGATTTCAAACCTTCAATCAGCCTGTAATCAGAACTATAAAAACTTAATAAAAACTTTAATCTGTGTTTAATTTATTCTTTATCTTAAGATTGTAATCTTATATTGTAGAACCAGGCTTCAAAAAAGCTTGGAATCAGAATTATAGAAAGTTGATTAAACTAAGATTAGAATTGATAAAAAAGAAGATAAATATATAATTGAATTAAAATTAGATATATACTACTTTCATATATATATATGTATATAATATTAACTATATTGTAAATTATAATATAAAATAATATATATAATACATTATATATATATATATTTCTCTCTAAATATGCATATATATATATGTATATAAAACCAAAGATGTAGTCTTCAAATTTTTTTGAAAAGAAAAAATAAATTTGAAACACGAATTCACAAAGAACAAACAGTTACTACAGAGAACAAATAAACTTTTTGCGTTATATATGTATATATATTGTATATTATAAATGCCACAAGGAACAATTGAAATAATGGGCATTTTTATTTTTTTTTTGCTATAATTAAAATATACACTGTGTCATGGGTGAAACAGGCGAATAGTAATTAATAGTAACAAAATATCTGTATCGTTTCCCTTTAATTTTTCTCTTTCTCTCTCTCTTTCTCTTTCTCTCTTTCTATTCTACCCCTCGTCTGTTTTCAATATATATTTTCGCACGCAGCAAATATGGTATACACAGTATACAGATTTAATTTCAAAGACATTAGTTAGCTTGGCTTGGAGATCTTCTCAAGTGGACATGTCCACTCGCGTTAAACTTTAACTCAATGGAGAGTTAAGCCAAACCGTTGATGCCTTTGCGACGTCTGAGAAAAAACCTTTTTCTTTTTTTTTTTGAATGTAGCTTCTTCATCCTTGTTACAATATAATTTCGATGTATCTAAATCTCATTGTAAATGTAGTCCCATTGTCTTATCTACATTCTTTACAATTATGTTAATCAATTAATTCTTTCAATTTCGTGGTCGAAACCGCAAGTTCTATTAATTGTCAAGATTTTCTAGTGCCTGTATCATCACTTGTGTTAACAGTCTTTTCGCGATATGAAGAGCAGTCTTTATACAGCGAACAGGAACTGCTCGATAGAAATGTGAAAGAAACGTTAAATTCGTGTTTGTCATCCCTGTTCGTTTCACGCCTTAAACATTCTGGGCCTCTATTCTTGAAAAGAAACATATACGAAAAACTAAGGCGTACTTTACGTTCTCAGTCTTTTTCGTTATTAGTAGATGTGCTATTTCGTCGACAACAGCAAATTTCGGTTGGATTTATCGCTCGCGCGAACTTCACATGTGTATCCAGGACCTTAAAATTTTAATTATATAATTAAAAAAAATTTTTTTGTCTAAATGTTTCATAACATGCATGCACACGCATACTAGTTTTTCGTATACGTTTCTTTTCAAGAATAGAGCTCCTGGGATTACTTAGATAACTTAGGGAAGCCTTTGTCACACTATGAGTTCATTATCAATCTCTAGCGGTGATTATCTTCATATACGTCTATTTCCTAGCCTATTTTCTTTTTTTTTTTTTTGGTACAGATCAAAACACGCAGACCGTACACAGACAACACGCAAATAATAGAACTTTGTTTCAAGATAGGTTTTTATCCATCTTACGTTATTAAAGACAGACTGCCGGACAATCAGCTATGATGATATACATTTTATGATACATTTATAAGATATCGATAGTATGACACGATGCTGCGCTAAATATTGTGTAAACTATGATTATACCGCAAGATTCTGTTTTCCTCGTTACTACTAGATGTGCTATTTCGTCAACAGCAGGAAGTATCAGTTGGATTCATCGCTCGCGCGAACTTCACGTGTATACCCAGGACGTTCATATTTTAATTATATAATTTTTTTAAAATTTTTTTGTCTAAATATTTCCGCACCTTGACGTGTTTCATATCTATTGTAAACACACATACATATACACATGTGTGGGCATGCATGCACGCATGCCATGCATACACGCATGCACGCATACATACGATATGTACACAATTTTTTTCCAATCTCGATAGTAACTATAAGTTATTATTAGATTACTAATCTTATAAGGATAGATTACATTATATGTTATGTATCAACATTAGATACTAATTATGAGTTAAGCACAAGAAAAAAAGAAATAGATTTTGATCTAAGGCCTTGGTCCTTGAATAACAACCACTCTTTTTTTTTTCCTTCTCAATAAAGCGAGAGCTTGTGATTGTGAAGGGAACGTGAACGTGGTGGAAAAAAAGACCAAATACTTTAGACAATTTGCGATCTTAATCGCAAAGCTTGAAAAAAGCGCATTAAACGCGCTCAAAAATTGATGATTTACTTCAAATGATGTACGATATCTGTTTTGCAATCATTATGACTCGTGAGTATACTATAAATGTAATTGTCACTTTATCCAATCTCAAAAGACGCACTTTCCATAATTATCGCTCGCATGGACAATCCATCTTTTCATCCTCTAAGTTAGACCTCTTTCTTTGCCTCTCAAAAGGAGCCAGATTAGAAACCAACTAAAGTCCTAAGTAGAACCCTGAATTACAAATTCATGGCAGAAAAAATAGGCTAATCCGAGCGATTACTGGCAGATAAATTAATGTTATATGTTATTTTAGCAAAAAGATTTCAATAGAATGTCCTTTGAAAATAAAAAAATACATATCAACAGTAACATATCATTAGGAAATTCGTGCATGATTGTCAAAATGTGAACTAAGCTCGCGATGTTAATTTTATCATTTATTAGAATGCGAATGTTTTGTAGATACTGACTGACGTTCAATGATATTTTATACACAACGATGATGAATCAGCTCTGTGAAATTTTCGGTCGTTTCTTTACGGGAACGATAAAATTATTTCTAACATCAAATTCTTTATGGGCCTTCTACAATATGCCATTAGTCATAAATCAGAAGTCAGAAGCTAAAAATTGATCAATCACAGTCGTCAATTTTTAGTTTCCGACTTCTGATTTATGACTAATGGCTTATTGTAGAAGGCTTATTATGCAGAGTCTACACAATGGGTGTTTTCCATTTGATAACACAAGTCGACACAAGCGTCGTTCTATCCTTCTTGACATTCAGAGAGTAACAAAGATAGAACGACACTTGTGTCGACTTGTGTCATCAAATGGAAAGCACCCAATAGAAATCGTAGCGGTCGTAGCGGTCGTACACTGAGAGAAAAATGTCGAAGTATTGCGAGGCAAGTGTTATTTACGAAATTTGATTGTAATGACGAAATATACATTTCTGTGAAATATATCTTATTAATTGCAAAATAGCTTATTTGCTAAGAATAAAATTTTATATCATCCGTATTTAAATAAATATTTATTTCAGTGAAATAAATATATTTCTCACAAATATATTTTTAGGCATCTTTTTCTCAGTATAGGGTCTTAAGGTCCAGTTCCATGATTCATAATTAACTCTTAACCGAGGTTCAACTTGTTTCTCATCTCTTTCCAATTCTAAAATTGGAAAGAGACAATAAACAAGTTGAATCTCGGTTAAGAGTTAATTATGAGTTGTGGAACTGGGCGTAAGTCGTAAGAAATTGACCAATCATAGTCGATTATTCGTTTCATATTCGACTGTGATTGATTAATTTTCTACGACTTAAGACTCGACGACCACTACGACTTCTGTTGTAAACCCCGCATTATCCTTTGAAAATTAATGAATTCAAATAATGCTAATCATAATACTCAATACATATTTTCAAAGTTAAAGTTATATACATATTATTGTATGATTATAAGAATGTTAGCTTCGCAACTCGAATCGGTGGTATTAATATAATACGAATTTGTCGAGATTTGACCAATAACCGCGTTAAACTCGGATCAGCCTTTATTTTCTTTCGCGGATTAAATCTTTTTTTACTGTATAATCAGACGACGATTGCAAAAATTAAGATTGTGTCTAACAAGTTGAATTAATACACACATTAAATTATAAGCTTAGTCTGAAATACAACTGCAAGCGCTACAAAAAAGTATCTGTATAATAAAACTCAAAATTTTAATACATAAATGATAAATCGTTAAAGTAGGGATACTAAAAAGTATTGGATTTTCCGAAAAGTTTGTGCCGATTTTCCAAAAAAATCGCAAACATATTTCAAGAGATTTATATTGACATTTTTATGCGTAGATATATTTTTATAGTTTCAGTTATATTACTTTTATTTCTGCATCTAAGAAAACGTGAAAATTTTCTTTATTCAAAACTTGTTGGTTCTTTTAGCGAATACTTTTGAAGATATGACATAAACTTTCTGGATAACCCAACGTAATGGATATGTTAATAGCAAATTAGGAATACAAGACAAATAGGTGATCCTAGATCAAATCATATTTCAATACTTGCGACAAAACTTTTCTCGCCTTTTTAATATACAATCGCATCATATTAATTGATATTCACTGTGCTAAATAAAT